CACAATAAGAATTCCAGAGAACAGCATAGAGCACATAGAGGTGTCTAGAGATGAAGTGAAACAAATGCTCCTGGAGCTAAGTAAGAACAAAGCAGTTGGCCCGGATGGAATATCACCATGGGTTCTGAGAGAATGTGCACCTGAGCTCAGCATTCCACTTCAGCTGATTTTTCAGACATCCCTGTGTACAGGAGTCGTAGCAGATGTGTGGAAAAAGGCTAACATAGTTCCAGTCTACAAAAGTGGCAACAGGGAAGACCCCCCCCCCCTCAATTATAGACCTGTATAATTGACAAGTGTAATAGTCAAAATATTGGAAAAAATAATAGAAACTAATTGAAGTGAGCACCTGAAGAGAAATGATATACTATCAGACAGACAGTATGGTTTTCGATCGGGAAGATCCAGTGTATCGAATTTACTCAGTTTCTATGATCGAGCCACAGAGATTTTACAGGAAAGAGATGGTTGGGTTGACTGCATTTATCTAGACCTAAAAAAGGCTTTCGACAGAGTTCCACATAAGAGGTTATTCTGGAAACTGGAAAATATTGGAGGGGTGACAAGTAAGCTTTTAATATGGATGAAAATTTTTTGGACTGATTGAAAAATGAGGGTAGTAATCAGAGGCTATGTATCGGACTAGAGAAATGTCACAAGTGGAGTATGACAGGGTTCAGTTCTTGCACTGGTGATGTTCATTGTCTACATAAATGATCTACCAGATGGAATACATAATTATATGAACATGTTTCTGATGGTGCTAAGATAATAGGAAGGATAAGAAACATAGACGGAGCCGGTCGGCCGAGCAGACAGCACACTGTACTTGTGATCCTGTGGTCCCGGGTTCAATCCCGGGTGCCGGCGAGAAACAATGGGCAGAGTTTCTTTCACCCTATGCCCCTGTTACCTAGCAGTAAAATAGGTACCTGGGTGTTAGTCAGCTGTCACAGGCTGCTTCCTGGGGGATGGAGGCTTGGTCGAGGACCAGGCCACGGGGACACTAAAGCCCCAAAATCATCTCAAGATAACCTCAAGATAGATGATTGTCATGCCCTTCAAAAAGTCCTGGACAAAATAAGTATATAGAGCACCACTTGGCAAGTGGAATTTAATGTTAATAAATGCCATGTTATGGAATGTGGAATAGGAGAACATAGACCCCACACAACCTATAAATTATGTGAGGACTCATTAAAGAATTCTGATAAAGAGATCTAGGGGTGGTTCTAGATAGGAAACTTTCACCTGAGGACCACATAAAGAATGTTGTGCAAGGAGCCTATGCTAAGCTTTCTATCTTCAGAATTGCTTTTAAATACATGGATGGCAAAATACTAAAGAAAGTGTTCATGACTTTTGTTAGGCCAAAGCTAGAATATGCAGCTGTTGTGTGGTGCCTATATCTTAAGAAGCACATCAACAAACTGGAAAAGGTGCAAAGACATGCTACTAAGTGGCTCCCTGAACTGAAGGGCAAGAGCTACGAGGAGAGGTTAGAGGCATTAAATATGCCAAAACTAGAAGACAGAAGAAAAAGAGGTGATACGATCTCTACGTACAAAATAGTAACAGGAATTGATAAAATCGACAGGGAAGATTTCCTGAGACCTGGAACTTCAAGAACAAGGCCATAGATTTAAACTAGCTAAACACAGATGCCAAAGAAATATAAGAAAATTCACTTTCGCAAACAGAGTGGTAGACGGTTGGAACAAGTTAGGTGAGAAGGTGGTGGAGGCCAAGACCGTCAGTAGTTTCAAAGCGTTATATGACAGAGTGCTGGGAAGACGGGACACCACCAGTGTAGCTCTCATCCTGTAACTACTTAGGTAATTACACTTAGGTAATTAGAGGCAAACAAAGATCACGAAACCCCAGCTGGCTCCAAGGGCGGGGTAAATGCCGAGCAGCAGGAACCCCTACTGAAGTGAAGTCCCGAAGGCCCAAGGGAAGAGAACCCTAGAACCCAAGTCTAATACTTGCAGGGCACTTAGGGAAGGCAGCCCGAGTACACTATGTTAATCCTGGTCATCATGCCACAAACAGCAGGAAACACCACAGGCACAAAATCCAGCAGGAATCTGCGACCAGAGTTGACAACCGCCCCAGAGAGCTTCAACCTATGAACTGAGGTATGGGCAGCCAACGCCGGGTCCAGGGCCCCCACAACCCCCCAAACACCCCCCCCCCCATCCCCCAACCCATCCCCGTGTAGACAAACGGTGTGGCAGTGGTGAATGACATTTGCTTATTTGCTTGTTTCCTTTGTTTTTTTGGGGGGAGTTCTGTTTCTCTGTTTGGTTTTGTGTTTTTTGTAATTTCCTTCCAAGTGGGGTTTGTTTTGAGATGTCTATCTTTCTGGGTGCCTAACCCCAGTCGATGGCAGACATGGAATACCCCCAAATACAAGGGGTTTTCCTTAGGTCATTGCTCCTTGCATCTCTCTGAGGAAGCCATGTTCTGGCTAGTGGTCCCTGGTAGGCAGAACTCTATTGACTGAAGTCCCAGACTAATATAGCATATATCAATCCGATAGCTCCAGGGAGCCGAAGGGGAATATTTCCCAACAGGAAATGTGGGACATTTGGGGCTTGACTCTAATTATTTAAATATTAATATAGTAGAATCAATTACGAAGGACCACCCGCTTTTATAGTAAAGAGGGAAACTGAGAAAATATGATCATTAGAAAATTCCTAGATGAACCAGTAACTATGGATAAAATACTAGAGAATATGATCACTGAAATAATTAATGGACTGTATAATTAAATGAATCAAAGCCTCAAACACCTACATTGGGGGGGTATTACTGGAACTCAATACGTCCAGGAACTAGTGTGGTTCGTTCACCAGTCCAATGTATAATAATCTAATCCTATGAATATTTATAGAGTCATTATCTTTATCTTCAATGAGAACATAGACTACGAACATGAAATAATAAGTATAATAAACACATGTTAATCCAATGAACAGAGTTCTGCATGTAAAGGAGTACAGATAATAATCAAGGAATACAAAAGGAATCTTAGTTTAATGACGATTCCTTAGAAGTTAGTTACGACTCATCCTCTGATTCCTCTGAACTCGTCATGGAACACTGGGAGTTGATTAACACGGGAAATGACAGCTCGGAGAATTCTTCACACATGCTGTAAATTAAATTGGTTTCAGTAGTAACAAATTAAACTACTAGAAATCTATATTCAAGAAAACGAGATTAAACATCAGAGAAAATAATGACCTGTAGTTTTTTATTGTCGCACGGCGTCATGACAAGCTACCCAGCTATAAACCCACCCCCTATATGATGCATCAAATAAGGATCAAGGTACTTAGCTAATATGGGCACTGTGTAAGTTAAGGCTTGCCGAAGGTCGCGTCCTAGGTTCTGGTCTAGCCTATCCTAGATACTGACGCGCTTCACTGGCCGGTCACGTGGAGTTACATAGAACCAAGTTTAACAGGTTCCGTAAATGACACTGACACCAGTGAAGGTATTGTCTGCAAAGGTTCTTCACACCTCACAGTGGCGACTTTCTTCTAGAGATTTGATGGCGTCTACCCTGATGGCTGGGTAATGGCGTCTCCTCGTGAGCGCTTCGCCACGTGAACACGTCTGCTCGTGAACCTTTCTACACATGGACTGGCGTCTCTTCCACCCCGCTCCGCGTCCCGCGTTTGTTACCCAAATTATTTATTATGGATATTATCATTTCTCGCAGTTGTGCTTGAAATGCTCGGGTTAGGACAGGTTTATTATTTGGAGGAGTTAAATATTATTATTTGCCCGTTTTATGATAGTAAACGAACAATGGAGAAGAATTAAAGTCTCTCCAGGGCATTCACGCGTGACGTTAATTTTATTACTAGATAACAGCTATAACTATAAACGCTCTATTTGGCTTTAGTTGGAGATCAGTTTATCTGTAATTAATTATCACACAGAACACCGTTGTTTATAGAGAATCAAATTCAATTCTCAGATACATTGGATATAAATGTGTTTATTACAATGGAATCTGACGCAATACTGGCGTCGGGTGACGTAAGAATTCTAGCCTTATTGTACAGATGTAATTATTAGTACATGTGAACTCTACGTTGGGTTAATTTTATCACTACAATGATTAGTAGAATTAGTAATAATTAATGAGAATACAACAGTGTTGTATTTAGTGTTGGAAATTTCCAACAGGAAATATAACAAATTTATTTCAAAATAAAAAGAAAAATAACAACAGATTTACAACAACACTTAGACTTACTGAGCTTGGTTGTTACACAATAGCAAAAAGAATCATTCAATAAATGCATGAAAGTTAATCAATTTATACAATGAGAACAGCTTGGGGCTTATGAACAGTTTACACTTGAAACACCACATCCTGGGCATGAAATGGCTTGGCGACAGAATGTGAACAGCTTGTATTTAATGTTGATACTGTGGAGAGCACCTGAGAGAGAGACTGATATGTCGGTGCTGGTCAGGAGTATTTATACCACTGTTGATGGCGTAATCCTGTGTAATGTTGCTTGGAAAGAGGAACCAGCAGAGTATCGAATTCCAGTGAGGTGGACTGAAGCAGGTGACAAGGGAGGTGGGGAGATAAGGGGGTATTTTATCTTGACAGGGTGTCTAGCCCTGGGCTGGAACTCCAGAACATAAGTATTTGTTGAATTATAGTTCTTGATGGTGTGGAGTAGGCGTCATGAGTAGACTGTCAACGATAAAGGTGAGAGTGAAGAGACAGTTTACTCTGCTATGCAGGGGAATTGTGACACTGGTAAATTTGAGAATCTGGTGCATGCCTGGAAACCATATATTACTATATAGCTCGTTACATGTATTTGTATAATTGGGATGGAGGGACTTGTATACAGTACAGGCACTGTATGCTCGGATGTTTAAATATTGGACAGTAATAAATATAACAAATATGTAATTCTTTTATAAAGTCATGGTTAATATTCTTACGGAATTCTTCACAGTGCACATCGACATAACCCGGGTGTTCAACAACGTTCTTCTTCAGCAAACTCAGCTTCAAGATAGCCATGGGGAGAAGACCATTACTGCACACTACAATTCATGGTATGAACATTTCTCCATTTATTTTGCTATATGGGTACTGATGAGTGGATAAAGAAGAAGAATGCTAAATTGTAACATAGGTGGATGAGCACACAAAATATAAATTACAAACTTAATTAATAAGTTAAATCTGTAAGGAAAATTGAAAATGCTGCTGCTTGGACATTGACTGTAAATGTTGTAAGCAAAAAAAAAGCTTGAACTTGATCTGTTAAATCAGGTTAATGTTCTCGATGAATAACAATGAAGTAGCTTTAAAGCACGAAATAATCAAATTGACAATCAGTGTTTTTATAAGTTTAGGACAAAACTGAGAATCTGTAAATTATTAGTTATATGAAATTCAAACCAGGTTCTAAGAAGAACTTAATCTACACATCATTGGAAGGTTCAGTTAGCTGGCAGTTTATATTGCATTTAATTCACTCAAATTTTTGTTAGGAAATTAGTAATTATATACAATACTCTACTCTATAATTGAGTAGGATAATCAAATTAATTTGGAAATGTAATGTAGCCTTAACACTTTGTAAAGATCAGTACCTGTATTATTTAGTACTCCAGGAAAAAAGTTGATTATATAATTCTTTGCTCTTGACTTCATGCTGTGCAAACATTCAGTGTGGGAAGTGATTATACTCATCTATAGTATATTTTGTCATTTGAAAGAAATGGTAAATCATTGTGGTTTCAAGTGCAAACCATGTGCAAGTTCAAGCAAATAAATACACATCAAATTTACATCTTTAAGTGACCAAGATATGTTCATATAGCAAGATAAGTGACTTACCCTACATTTATAATCAGAGTAGTCTCAAGCACTGTAATGTATGATGTATGAAACCTAAACTTTCATGTGTATTTGCCTTCCAGGTACTCGGAAATTCTTCTTCGCCGTGTGAGTGCGGGTCATATTGTCTTTTCGAACAATCAGCGTGCCTTTGTTTCTCTCACTGCTGAGGGAGCCCAACCTTTTGCTGCAGAAGAATTTTCAGACATAAATGAACTTCGAGCACTAGCAGAACTTATTGGACCATATGGCATGAAGGCACTCAATGAGAACTTGATGTGGCATATTGCTAACCAAGTGCAGGAATTAAAGGTGAGATTCTCCATATGGTTTTATAGTATTTATATTAAATTAATAGGCAGAATATATAGTAAAATCACTTGGTATGAACATTTTAAGCTTGCTTAAAAAATTGGGTGTAAGGACTTGCAGGTAAATTGTCTAACTAGTAAAATTTTTGTTAAAAAATAATATTGATAGACACACATTCCATGTGTGATAATTTTGATTACTAGCTCTATTGTGAACGTGAAAATTTTGAGCTAAACCACTTTTCTGATGAAGACCTCAACTCTAATCAACTTTTATGTCATCATGACAAAGGTCCTTGTCCTTTTTAAAAGTGTATGGACTGTTGATATATTATCAGTATGCTTGTGTGTGAGTTGCACCTAACATTGTTCATGTGTGTTGGTTGGGTTATGATTAATTTTCATCATAACTCTTGAGTTTTAATTTGCAGCTTTCCATGATGCATTTATGTAGGTGCTTTTGGACACTAATAACCATTCATGTTTCCTTTCACATTCTGTCTGTTGGGTTCTAGAACCTTTCTTCCTAGGATGTGTGATGTTTGTCATTGGACTTCTGTTCTGGTCGAACTGCACTCTCGGGTGGAAGCCTATCTAGCTAAACCCTATGTAAAAGACTGTGCTTTGTGGTACGGGCTTTTCATAGCTTTTGGTTGCCACCATTGCAAAGGTAGAGAAATCTCCTGTTTACTGAAAGAAGTAGTTTAAATGTTTGCAAGACAAATAAATAAGTGCAAGAGACTGTTCACCATGTTTGGCCATTAGTTTACTTCTGCACCCAGTTTCATTTCATTCAGCCTCCCAGCCCCTGTTGTTGGTTAGGGTCTTGAGATTGCTTGAAGACCCACAGGTTTTGACACCGGCAGATCTAGGGATCTAGTTCCCTCGGGATTTGATGATAGCCTCAGCACCCACTTGATCTTTGGTCTCCTTATTGCTATAATGTAGTGAATTAAGACACTGCATACAAAAGTATCCAGAAAGTTACACACAGAAATCACAATAACGTGGTGCATCAAATGAACAAATCCACAAGGGCCGTGACGAGGATTTGAACCTGCATCCGAGAGCATCCCAGACGCAGACGCATACCATGTCGTAGCTCAGTCGATTAAGGCAGCGTCTGGGATGCTCTCGGACGCAGGTTCGAATCCTCGTCACGGCCCTTGTAAATTTGTTCATTTATCCAGAAAGTTTTAAGTTTTACCAATCCATAAACATATAAAGCCAAACAACCCACCTAACCTATCAAGGCCAATGCATAGAAAATGTCACTGTTACAGTCCTTTAATTTTTACTAATACATTGCATTTTAAACAGTTGGTCAACTCTGTATAAATATTTTATGTTGAAAGAGAATGGCCTCAGGATTTTCCCCCCAGCTAATTTCACTAACATATTGCAGTGTGGAGTGCACCAAGCATGCACCATGCAGTGCACAAGGCCTATATTCCTTATCACTGGATGGAAGTCTGCCATGTTGGGTATCTCTGGGTAACCTGCATGATTAGCAACATAGTGATCTTATAAAGGCCGCTGTGTATCCAGTGAGACATTAGATAGCGTGAATTAAGCATTTATGCCGTAGCATCAAGAGTGAAGAAGTCCAACAGGTTGATAACCTCAAGATAACCAAGGTTGATAACTTGGTTGATAACCAAGATAACCTCAAGGTTTGGTTGCAGGTTGTTGCAGAGGGAATGCCAGCTAGGTGAAGAGAGATAAGCAGTTACCTCTGGGGTCAGTGGCAACCGTTGAGCAGAGAGAATCCTGATACAAGGGTACCTCGGTTTAAGAATTTAATTCGTTCCTGGAGAAGGTTCATAACCCAGAAATTTGTAAACCAAAGCGAATTTCCCCCATAAGAAATAATGGGAAATGAATTAATCCGTTCCTGACTTCCCAAAAACTTCACTTCAAAGTAAATTTTCTACCTAATTCTCCCAAATCTTCACTACAAAATATGTTCAAGTTATTACTTATCCTTGCTGATGACTCCTGTTGGTGTATGGAAGATGGTGAGGAGAAGGCAAGGAGGAGAGGTGTTACTGTTTGGAAGGGGAGTCCCCTTCCATTGTAACATCAGGCAGTGATGACTTCTCTGGAGTGCACTCTCTGGCATGTTTTGCCTGCATACCACTAGGTCTTGGTTGTGGCTCACTGCTTCATTTTCTCACTTTTATCACAAGGAAACGTTCCATTGAAGATTATTTTTTCCTTTTTTGCAGCACTTGTCTGTAGTGAGGCAACACATTGTCATTAACAAGATCAATACAATGGCCTACTACAGCTTTATCTGGGTGATTCTTTTCAGTGAAACTTTGCAGTCCATCCCATACTGCACACATTTTCTTAATTAATGAGGAAGGGACATTCTTTACTGCCTCCTCTTCCTCCCCTGAAGATTTGTTGTACTGCCTAGCTAGTTCAACAACACGAGTACCATTTTCATGCTATGAATGATCTCTTGTTTTTCCTCTATGGTCATTTTCACATGTGATTTCTTGCCTTGAACCTTACCACTGGCATTCTTGAGACCCATGGCGAGATATATAGTAACAACTTTTATGCTCAAATGGCCAAAAATCTGACAAACTGTAAATTCTTGTGAAGAATTCAGGGGGATAGTCACTGGGTGCGAGGCACTGGTAAACTGAGGCGCGATCGCTGTGCTACCACATGCTAGGTCGGCCGTACTTGTTTCAACAAACTCGCATCCCGATGCAAAGTTCGTATCCCAATTCAAATTTTCCAAACAAATCGGGCTTGTAACCCGAAAAGTTCGTAAACAGGGACATTCGTAACCCGAGGTACAACTGTATAGTTGTTACGTTACCGTCCTAACTCTTCATGTATTGGCATGTAAGATTGGATTCGACACCTGTGCTGTTATTCTTATTGGTCAGTACATAGACCTGATAGTTGGGCCCCAAAGAGGCCCTAGCAAGCTCCTCCACGAGTCAGCCCTCGCATTCTCATGAAAAACATCATACCTGGTTGAAGGGTGTTGTTCTATCTATTGGTCAGTAGACAAGAACACACTGTTAAATTCCTCACAGTTTTAAGTTACCTTCACAGTCAAGTTACCTTCTGCTTTTCATTTAATATATCAGTGTTTGCCCAGAATCGCAACCACAAATATATTGTATTGACCAAACCACACACACTAGAAAGTGAAAGACAATCGACTTGATACTGGTCGAGGACGGACTGAAACGTTGTTGTCTCTTCACTTTCTAGTGTGTGGTTTGGTCAACATTTCTGGGGGAAGGTCCGTTGGCTCCCCGGAGCTATCCAGGCTGATATTACTAATGTCAGACTTTGGCATCAGTCATGTGTATGGAGTTCTTGGAGTAACCTTGCAAAACCTTGTGATGATTTTGAGGCTCAACATCCCTGAGGCCTGGTTTTCGACCAGGCCTCCTAAACAAAGGCTCAAGTCCATTTCATGCACCCACCAAACCCCCCCTGTTTATGAAGGAATAACGGTGCGCACACACAACTCTCATCTGATGACATTGGAACACTTCTCGAACAATTTGACTAGTTTGAACCACAAATGCTGTAAGTGCTTCACCCACATAATACAAATACAAATACAGTAATCGCCTACAGAACCTAAACACCTAAACTAACCAATACTTAAATATGCACAGTATGCTAATATATAACTATTATTTTATATTTAAGAAAATTCCTATTTTTAATGAACATGTTAAAATTGATGGATGCCTATTTGGGGTCGACCACTGGATGGAATGGACTTGATGTGAAGACAGGTTGCTGTGCTTGATTTTACTTACTGTGTTGTCAGAGTTTATTCTTTCCATATATTATGCAAATGGTAGTTTTTCTGGTAAATATTTCATAACCAAGCCATTCCAGAGCTGAATTCCATTTTTAATGTTTTTCTTTGTTACAGAAATTGGTCATACTGAATAAAGATGTCTTGCTTTCCATGAGAACCAATTTTGACAAACCTGACCAAATGAAGGAATTGTTCAAAAAGCTTCAACGTAAGTAGAAATTTTATTAAAAAAATTATATAATTTCTGTTAATTATGATTCTGTAGTTTTCTTTTGTTCTATATATATTGTATTATTTAAAATCTTAGTACTGTGCTGTACTTAATGCTGTTTGTTATTGTGTTGCCTTCTTCATTTAGCCTGGTTATTATAACCTATTTGCTTAAATTACAGATGGTTTTGTCATACTGCATTACCCACTCATTTAAATTAGTCCATCTGTCTACCACTTTGTTTGCAGAAGAGTATTTATGCAAGTTTATTCAGCATCTTTGTTTTCTTAGTTTGAATTTTTTGAAGGCTCCCATGTCCTTCTGGTGTGGAATTCACAAATTCATTCTTGTCAATTTTGTTGAGTCATGTTACAATTTTCTGAGGGGAGCCCCTACGGCTTGTTGTTGTTGTTAAAGATTCGCTACCTGGAACAAAACGTTCCAAGTAACACGGGCTATTGTGAGCCCGTAGTGCCTTTTAATCCCCTACGGCTCCCCAGAGCTATCCAGGCTGATCGGGATAGTCCTAACTTTTGGCATCAGTTGATGTGGGTGGAGTTCTAGGCCTACCGAGGACCACGGCCAGAACTTGGCCCCCTCAGAGAGGCACGAGGAGCAATGGCCCATAGAAATGCACATGTGATTTTGGAGCATTCTATATCTGCCATCGACCGACTGATGCCAAAAGTTTATCAGAATTCTTTAATGATTCCTCACATAATTTATAGGTTGTGTGGGGTCTATGTTCTCCTATTCCACATTCCATAACATGGCATTTACTCACATTAAATTCCACTTGCCAAGTAGTGCTCCATATACTTATTTTGTCCAGGTCTTCTTGAAGGACATGACAATCAACTAAGTTTCTTATCCTTCCTATTATCTTAGCATCATCAACAAACATGTTCATATAATTCTGTATACCAACTGGTAGATCATTTATGTAGACAATAAACATCACTGGTGCAAGAACTGAACCCTGTGGTATTCCACTTGTGACATTTCTCCAGTCCGATACATTGCCTCTGATCACTGCCCTCATTTTTCTACCAGTCAGAAAATTTACCTCAACAATAGGACTCATAATCACTGGGCTTGCCTTTGGGGTCTTTGCGTCAGCTACTGTATCGCCGCCTTCCTCTTCGGGTTTTTCGGGGTTCAGTGACTTGGCACATACCCAAGCCCTCACTTGTTGTGTTCACGGACATGTTGTCTCTCGGCTGAGGCTTTGTGACTAGTGCTCACCAGGCCGGTCAGGGGCGGTGGGATCAGTCCTTCCATCAGGCCCACAGCACGGTGTGGGTGTTCGCGGAGGTGTGGTTTGTGCTTGGAGGGTTCGGGTCGCCCATGGATCGACGATCCGGCTCCATTCAGACTGCTCCCCTGTGGTTCATTGTCTGAACCGAGGGGGGGGGTTCGATGCGGGCCTTCGCTCTTTGGGATTGGCCGCTTCGGGTGACTCGTCTGCTGAGTTCTCGGGGTTTCGCTCTCCTGGCGGTTCACGTCTGGGGGTTTCCAACGTCCTGGCGGACGGCCTGTCCCGGTTCATTCCCCTTTCCATGGAATGGACGGTCGATGCTGACTCATTTAGTTGGCTCTGCCAGACGTTTGGGTGCCCAGAGGTGGACCTCTGCGTTGGCGTGGTCGAGACTTCTTCTGATATATGTGGGGCCCTTCCCCGACCTCGAGGCTGTCGGGATCGATGTCTTTTGGCTGGACTGGTCGAGGTGGGGGTTCCTGTACCTCTTTCCTCCGGTTCTGCTGTTGCTCCAGGTTCTGGTTTGCTTGGAGACTTACCAGGGGCGAGTTGTCCTCTTGGCTCCGTGGTGGCTGGCCCAGCCGTGGTTTCAGGTGCTGCTTACCCAGTGTCCGAACGCAGGGTTTTTTCCGTGGCTCTGCCTCTTTCAGAAGATCGGCCTGGTCCGTTACGAGACTGGTTCACTCTTCTCCTCGAGTCTTCGCGTTTGATATTTTTGACTCGAGTTCATCACCATTTGTATGGTGATCAGGTGGCTTCGTTGATAGTGTCCCATCTGCGAGCTTCGTCTCAGCGGCAGTACGAAGTTTCCTGGCAGTCCTTCCGTTTCTTTTTTATTCTTCGTCGTTGTACTTTGCTTTCGGTTCAAGTGGTGGTGTCCTTTCTCTCGTGGTTGTTCCAGGACCGTCATCTTATGCTGAATACTGTCGCCTCGTATTGTGCGGCATTGGTGAAGCCGCTTCAGCTTGCTTTCAGTATAGATGTTACTCCTGCGCCACTTCGCAAGCTGTCCCGTGCGTTGTTTCACCTGTGGCCTGCTCATGCACCGCCTGAGCCATCCTGGTCTTTAGACATAGTGCTCTCCTGTCTTTCTTCTACTCGGTTTGTTGTGGCCCCTTCGGTTCAAGATTGTTTCTCGAAGGCTCTGTTTCTGTTGGCAATGGCCTCTGGGGGTCGGGTCAGGGAGCTTCATGCTCTCCTCCGGCGTAGGGGTTTCTGCTCTTTCGGTTGTGGAGATAGGTTTGTTTGTCTGCAGCTGTCTCCTTCTTTTCTGGCAAAGAATGAGACTGTTGCATTCCAGAGGGGTCCTTGGGGTGTTGATGCTTGGTTGGTCAGGCTGGGAGTGCATCATGTTTTGTGTCCGGTTGCGGCCCTCCGCCGTTATTTGTGTAATTACCTAAGTGTAGTTACAGGATGAGAGCTACGCTCGTGGTGTCCCGTCTTCCCAGCACTCTGTCATATAACGCTTTGAACTACTGACGGTCTTGGCCTCCACCACCTTCTCACCTAACTTGTTCCAACCATCTACCACTCTGTTTGCGAAAGTGAATTTTCTTATATTTCTTCGGCATCTGTGTTTAGCTAGTTTAAATCTATGACCTCTTGTGCTTAAAGATCCAGGTCTCAGGAAATATTCCCTATCGATTTTATCAATTCCTGTTACTATTTTGTATGTAGTGATCATATCACTTCTTTTTCTTCTTGCTTCTAGTTTTGGCATATTTAATGCCTCTAACCTCTCCTTGTAGCTCTTGCCCTTCAGTTCTGGGAGCCACTTAGTAGCATGTCTTTGCACCTTTTCCAGTTTGTTGAAGCATAAGATATGGGCACCACACAACTGCTGCATATTCTAGCTTTGGTCTAACAAAAGTCATGAACAATTTCTTCAGTATATCGCCATCCATGTATTTAAAAGCAATTCTGAAGTTAGAAAGCGTGGCAAAGGCTCCTCGCACAATATTCTTTATGTGGTCCTCAGGTGATAGTTTTCTATCTTTAACCACCCCTAGATCTCTTTCTTTATCAGAATTCTTTAAAGATTTCTCACATAATATATAGGTTTTGTGGGGTCTATGTTCTCCTATTCCACATTCCATAACATGGCATTTATTAACATTAAATTCCATTTGCCAAGTGGTGCTCCATATACTTATTTTGTCCAGGTCTTCTTGAAGGGCATGACAATCAACTAAGTTTCTTATCCTTCCTATTATCTTAGCATCATCAACAAACATGTTCATATAATTCTGTATACCAACTGGTAGATCATTTATGTAGACAATAAACATCACTGGTGCAAGAACTGAACCCTGTGGTATTCCACTTGTGACATTTCTCCAGTCCGATACATTGCCTCTGATCACTGCCCTCATTTTTCTACCAGTCAGAAAATTTTTCATCCATGTTAGAAGCTTACCTGTCACCCCTCCAATATTTTCCAGTTTCCAGAACAACCTCTTATGTGGAACTCTGTCGAAAGCTTTTTTTAGGTCCAGATAGATGCAGTCAACTCAACCATTTCTTTCCTGTAATATCTCTGTTGCTCGATCATAGAAACTGAGTAAATTCGATACACAGGATCTTCCAGATCGAAAACCATACTGTCTGTATGATATTATATCATTTCTCTCCAGGTGTTCTACCCATTTAGTTTTAATTATTTTTCCAATATTTTGACTATTACACATGTCAATGATACAGGTCTATAATTAAGGGGGTCTTCCCTGCTTCCACTTTTGTAGATTGGAACTATGTTAGCCTTTTTCCCACACATCAGCGACAACTCCTGTAAACAGGGATGCCTGAAAAATCAGTTGAAATGGAATGCTGAGCTCCGGTGCACATTCTCTCAGAACCCATGGTGAAACTCCATCTGGACCAACTGCTTTGTTCTTATTTAGCTCCTTGAGCATTTTTCCCACTTCGTCTCTAGACACCTCTATGTGCTCTATGTTGTTCTCTGGAATTCTTATTGTGTCTGGTTCCCTGAAAATTTCATTTTGTACAAACACACTTTGAAACTTATATCACTTAAACTCTGTATTACATCACTTAACTCCAGTATCTTCGATCTTACTCCATGTATGTTGGTGTATGCAATCTTCAGGAACTTGTTCCCCCTCTTCTTATTTTTCACTTCCCCTCTCTCTAATGATTTTGTTGGTTTGCCTTTATGTACCACTTTACTGGTCAGCCTACCCCTATCACTTTGTAGAAAAAAGAATTGATTTTTTCTTCATTCCTGCTCTCATTTAAACGTTTTGCCTCGGCGAGGTTCAGTTTCAGCTTCTCTCTATCTTCTTTTGAAAGATCTCGTCTTAATGACCACACTTTCCCATCCTCATCACTTTGTAATTTTCTAGTATTCCTTAGTACTTCTTCCATCTGTTTGGCACCATTTAGGGTGATCCTCAAAGGTCGATCTTTCCCTTTTACATATCTGCCTATTCTCCTGTAGTCGCACACATTCTCTATGGTTGTAAGACCTTCCACGAGGCCAACAATTTTATCTACTACTTTTGCTTCTTCTACAGCTCTTTCTGACCTAGATGTTATCTCCTTTTCTTTGCAGCCAAAAATGATCAGGGACTTACTCCGATCAACTGTGTTTTGCACGAACTTCGGGTTAGATGCCAATTCTTTTCTCACTTCCAGCCTAATGTTTGTTTTATCTTGGTTGCTGCAGTGTTTGACTTCCTTAACGGCTTCTTCTATTTTTTCCTTCTCCTTGGCCACTTGT